TAGATAGATAGATAGATAGATAGATAGATAGATAGATAGATAGATAGGCAGGCAGGCAGGCAGGCAGGCAGGCAGGCAGGCAGATGGAAATGAAGATAGAAGGGTGGATGGATGGATCAGTCAATCAGAGAGAGAGAAATAGACAGGAAAGAGGTGACCGAGAAGCGAAGGGATAGACGGACAAGCAGGCTGATCAGTGCCTGGGGTGGTCTAGATGAGCCCATGCCTTCCAAAGATGCGATCGTGTCTTATTCCTGCCCCCTTCCCCAAAGAAGCAGGCCATTAAAGCCCCTCCCTCAAACCTTTCTCTTAACACCCCCCCCCCCCCCCCAAAAAAAAAGTCCCTGAAAAAAAATGGAAGCCGGCCTTGGATCGTAGCGGGGAGGATTTACCCTTGGCTGTTTCGAAGGAGCAAACAAGGATGGATTGAAACGCCGAAAGAAAAGGGGCAGCTGCCGGATTGTGGTCTCCTTGCCAAGGCTTGGCACCCACGAGGGGATGTTCACCTTTTTGGCAAAAAGCGGCAGCGCCGGTCTTTCAGGGAGAAGGCGGACGCTTTGGCGCTTGTGCCGAAATCCATTCTCCATGGCTACAAGACTGATCCCGAGGGGCACAATGGGCGCCGTGCCTACTACGGCCCCTGGGAATGTTTCCACTCTTTTTCTTTCTTTTTTCTTTTTTTGGGGGTGGAAATCGAGAAAGAATTAAAAATGAAGTGGAAATCCCTGGTTTGTTTGCCTCTGGGCCAATGTTTATTGCAGTGCCTTGAAAAAAAAAAAGGCAAGACGTGCGCCAAATTTGAACGCCAAGCCCGTGGTTTCTATTTGCAACCTGCGGGCGCAGCCTGACTACTGAAATTTAGTCAATTGGATGAAACGGGACAGGCATCTTAATTAATGGGTAAGAAGTGATTATTATTGTAAAATAAAACAGATAATAAGGTAAAACACGCTACTCCCTGTTTTTATGTAGAATAGAATAGAATAGAATAGAATAGAATAGAATAGAATAGAATA